TGCAAAATCAAGAAACTGGATAATAGTGGATGTGCAGAACTCTTCATCTACCTATATATTGAGCAAATCCAGGTGTAAGGTGTGCCTGGGAAGAAAGACAATACTGGTTTGGCATTATAGTCACACAGTTGCAGTGATCAGAGCAGTTCTGGGACATACAAATGTACATTGCTATATATTCCACAGGGAAAGTCTAGCTAATTCTGTTTACATTTTTACAACCTCACATGCTGCCTGTGGTTTGAGTGACTAGGAGAAACTTTTTCTGGGCTGGGATGGCTGTCAATCTATCCAGCATTAACCAATTCTTCCTTCCCATCTCTGAATTCAAAGAGAGTCCCACCTCTCTGCTCAATGTTCCTTTCCCTGCCTTTAGTCTGTTGGATTAAAGCACAATTTTTGTTAGTTTGCTGTTGATCTGTTCACAACTGTAAGTAATGAAGTGTTTTTATTCTTTCTCCTACAAATGTCTCAGAGTGAGTTATTGCAACCTTAAATGCCATTTATTGAGATGGGAGTGGATTATCTGGGAAACTTAAAGTTATTCTCCTCTGTGAGTCTCTGTCCTTCTGCTGTATAGCAAAAGGAATTTTACCCAAAATTCAGAACTCTGCAATAGTTTCAAAGTTCTGCTTCTGTAGTAAATATACAGTTTTATTGTTTGATGAGGAACAGAATAAAGAGTGGGAGGGTGGCTTTTATGTTCACAGAGCTGGAGATTAGTTAGATGCAATGTACTAGATTTAAAAAGTTTAATATGGCATCTATAATTAATAACCAAATTTGCTGGTTAAGAATTCAGTGGGTAGTATTACCTTTTAAATGGAGGGAGCATATTCTTACAGATGCAGTTTATGGCTAGTTTACTATACCTTTCTCTGAGTAGTTATTTCAAAAGCCTATGGCCCCAAGTGGCTTGTCAAGAGCATTTGCTATTTCTAACCGTGAGGGGCAGGAGTCTCCTGCAGTCTTATTTGTTGTGAAGATTAAGGTACTATATGTACATAAGAACTGAGGGGGGAACAGAAAAGTAGAGACTAAAAAGGAGGAGATAGTGGAAGAAATATACTTTATACCTCTTCACCCCCTGCAGAGCCTCTTTGAGTTAAGCACATGGCCAGAGAAGTGATGAAGTCTAATTTACACCTACAGAAACAAGATCTTATCATCAGGCAAAACAACAGCTTGCTAAGCTCTAAACCTGTTAAGCATTTGGCGGTAGTAATGGAGCATCCACCAGATATACTGTCAGTAAAACAAAAGCCTGGGAATTGAAGGAAGTATTTGAAAATATCAAAGACCGTTTAGGAAAACTGCATGGTAATCGTATAATAACATTTCTTGATTGAGCCTTCAACTAATATTAGAGAAAACATAACCGGTGGAGGATACTTTGTGGGGAGAAAAAAGGATTTTTTTATATGGGGAAATTATAAGTCAACCAAAAACCCTACTTGAAATCCTAGACGTGTTCTAAAATACACATGCTACATATCACTGATGTTGAATAAAATCCTGATAGGAGAATTTAAGTTTGTTGATAAATAGGTTATTTGTGTACCATCATCCCCCCATTACACTAACTCCCCAGAGCATATGTCCTCTCTCATGATGTTAGAACCTGGGCTCTTACAATACAGCAAAAGGGTGGGGTACTGAGGATCTATAAAAACAAGTACCTCTTCACCCAGTTTATAGACTGTGGAATTAACTACCACAAGATTTCATGAAGGACACTGACCTGGATGGCTTTAAAACTAATAAGACAAATTCATGTAGGACAAGGTTGACAATGATTACCAGTCACAAGGGCTATAAATTACTTGCAATATAGGTGGCATTATGATTGTGGGCACCTCATAGGCCATTGCAGGAAGAGAATGCTCATTGGCATTGCTGATGAGCAGGAGAAGAAAGAGAGCTTTTCATAAATCTTTAGATGGAAGCACACAGCATCCTTTCTGTGCTTAAACATTTTAAAGATCATGTCTCCTGTAGTGCCTTGACCTATGACAGTGAATGCAAAGTCAAAGCCATTCTTGGCCATTGGAGACCTGGTAAGGGACATAATAAAAATTATCATGTGCCATTAAGTCAGTTATGGCAATTGTTTTTCTAAGTAGAAAATATTCAGAAGTGGCTTCTGAATATTCTCTACTTAGAAAAACTTACTCCCTTACTTATTCCCTTCTTTTGGTGAGTGTCCTGGGACTGCACAGCTTGTTCAAGGCCACACAGGCTGGCTCTACTCATAGAAGGCACAGTGGGGAATTGAACTCCCAACCAAAGTCAAGACTTGGCAGCCAGATACCAAAACCACTCCAATTTTGCCATTATCTTCTTACAGAATTCTGAGCAAGATTTGTTTCTTCCCACGGTTTGCTCACCTCCACCAGGTTGCCATCATTCCCACTTTGTGTTGGACATCCTCTATCACATCAGTTTGCTGCAATGGCAGCTCCTAGAAACAAATGTGTGAGCATTATAATGTAGCATAAGGCACATACTTTAGGTAAACCTTTTCCTTCTCTGGGAGTGACGAGAGTTTATGTTGCAATGGGGTTTTTAGGCTTATGAATGTAAAGTTGGGAAAGTTTTTTTTTCCAAAAAAAATGGTACTGTCAAGGTTTCAAGATGTGCAAAGACCTCGATCACAATTTTTATGCAAGGAGAAGAAAATCACTTTATTCATTATATTTCCGCTGTGTAAATTGGAAGCTGAATCAGACACTCTTATATATCACTACTGAGACTTATGTTTTGCCATGTTCAGTAGATTTCACACAATCCCAAATCAATCTGCATATTATAGAATATAGAATATATGCAGAAATTGCCTTTCTTCCTAATAATGTGACTTTCCAGTATTTGAAGAAAGGGGCATCTGCTGAGGGCTCTGTTACACCTATAACTTAAACTTGTAAATTAGGTAGTTGGCTAAAAGGAAGATGGATAATAATTACATGCCATCAAGTCAATTCTGATTGATGGTTACCCTTTCCACAGAGAGGGCTAAGAAGCAGTTTACCAGTCCCTTCTTCTAGGGGTGCCCCGGGATTGTGCAGCTTGCCCAAGATGACAGAGGCTGACTCTTCTCTTGGGACATCCATCAGGGAATCAAACTCCCAACTTTGCCTTCCCAGATTAACTGAACATTCTTTCATTGTCAGATTTTTCTTTCTCTCTCCCCCCCCCTTGTGATGTAGTTTGGAAAACACCCAGCTGGTAGTCATGCTAATTGGATGCAGCAAAAGCAATGGAAAGGCTTAAGGCTCCATCAAGACTAAGACTTTTTTTTCTGAGGCTCAAGGTTTTGTGGGCTGTAGCTAGAATGCATTTGAAAAAGCGGGCAAAGTCTATGAAAGTTCACACCAAATAAAACTTCCTAAACATGCAAGTGCCGCAAGACTCAATTATTTTGAATAGGATGGTGGCCAGTGTGTGGTGACTTTTTCAAAAGGACAGGTTTGAGCAGAGAGGAAACAGTGGCTGCTGAAAGCCTGTAGTAGACAAGGAAATGATCCTGTAATCATTGTTCTAGAAACAGACCTTGTCTAATTGCTGCAAGTGGTGGAATATAGTTGCCATTGCTGTAGGAAATATGATTGGGAAAAGCATGGAAGCAAATGAATGATGAGGCAAACAGGTGGCTATTGTTTGCACAAGTCATGTTCACAGTGTGTGTCTCAATCTTTACATCTAGAAAAATCAGCATTAATTCCACTGAGTATTTGAAGGCACATCAGTTTAGGACCTTTCCTAGTCCTTTTCTTTTGTAAACTTGATGTTGTTTCAAAGGTCACCTCTCTCAAAAATAAGATAAAAAAGTCTTTTCCATAATATTTGATCTCTTCCTTAAGGCTGCTTGTGCCCTCTCAGTATTAAAAGAATCAGGTTAGAAACTAATTAAATTTGGAAGCAGGAGATTGAATTTGCATTGATTAAACTAGTGTCATTGCCATGTTCTTCAGTTGCCCTTCGTGGCTGTTGTATCAGGCATGGATTGAATAAATGTGTTCCAAAGATAGAAAAGTCAACCATGGAAAAGAATCAGTACACCATTGCAGTGCAGTGGGCAGTGGTTGACATTGGCAGGATAGTCAACACCATAAGCAACTAGAAGAGTCTGCTGCTTACTCTGGATAATGCCAGATAGACACCCAGGGTCAGTGCTTCTTTGGGCATTGAACCCCATTGGCCAGTACATATCTTTTTAATTTCTCTTCAATGGCTGCTACATCAGGGACTCCAGAATAGGATGAATTGTGATAGTGGGCATCAATAGCAGAGCTTACCTCCTAGACTAACTTTTTTTGCTGGTGTTCTCTTTTGCTCCTCTACTACCAACATTGTAAATTGAGGAGAGAAAGGATGCTGTTTCCATTAGCCCATTGGAGTGTGTTGCCACTGAGGAGTCCTACCGGGGGTGGTGGTGGTGGTGGCTACTGCTATTGCTTAAGGATCTACCGAACCAGGTAGCACACCTGGCCTGGGAAGAGCCAAGTTATAATTTCTTATCACACCCTGGATCAGTCTAGATAAATCTGGCACTTTCTGGTCCCGACAGAAACATAATGTTTTGTCCCATCCATTTCTTTTAAAAGGTTAGTTGTTTTCTATACTACTATCAGTGGTGTCTGCTAACCAAAATGTATTGTTTCAACAACATACTGATAATTGTTAATGCTGTACTTGTCCTGAAGGCTGTATTCTAGCGAACAAATGACAGATCAACTTTGTTACTATCTGTTTTTCTGCTAAAATACACAAGCCAGCCTACAACCTGATTAAAAAATGTAACACATGTATGGCCTTTATCCAGAACAACAGCAAATCTTTCCTAAAGCTGCAGTTTGAATACACAGAAAGTTCATACTAACTTCAGCCTTCTGTATTTAAAAAAATTCTATGTGATCAGTGTCCTTTTGTATTTAATTTCTTTGGTTATAACCAAGATGTTGGTTCATAAAACTAATTCAGTGTTGCTTTTCATCCTACAGAAATGTATGAATCCAACAATATAATCACTTTCCATGGCCTGGTTAATAGTTCCAGTTACCACACCTTCCTTTTGGATGAGGAGCGGAGTAGGCTGTATGTTGGAGCGAAGGATCACATATTTTCATTCAACTTAGTCAACATCAAGGAATATCAAAAGGTGTGTGAAGCACTTTTCAACTTATGTTTAATTGGGGCATATGGGGGTCAGATGGTAAGGGTTGTGGATTCTTAACTTGTCTTTGAGTAGTTCCTGGTATAAGCCCAAATTTTGATTGCGCTCTTTTGGACTGTGGGTTTGCTTGCACAATGAAAAACTCCAGAAAGGAATGTTCTTTAGACCTATATATACTATATAATGCATGCTTGGGAGAAAGCCAAGTACAGTTCTTCTTGCCATCTACCTTTCTGTGTGGAGAGATTATGATGATCGTAGTGATAATTTTGATATGAAGCAGTGTTCAGTGGTGCAGTTCAGACAGAAGCTTACAACTACAGTCAAAATTAAGCCTACTTCTCTTAAAATACATGGGTTTCTATTGCAGGGTTTTATTGTGCTAGGGTTTGGCCACAACACATGTATTAAGGTTTAACCATGGACCATATCATGTTAGATCTATTGCACTGTTCTCTTTTAGTACTGTTGAATTGAACTGGCTTCTTCTACTGATTTGAAATAGAGCTGTTTCCTTTGGATCCAGCTCATAAATTGTCCCTGAATAGTTTCAGAATGCATTTCCTTCAAGACCAAGTATCTACATTTTTGGAACTATGTAGAGATATTTAACTCTTACTCCTTCCACTCCATAGCCACACTGAAAGAGAGTGTGTTTACCTCATGGAGTTGCATTCACACCAATGTCAGATGGACATTCAGTTCAGTTCAAATATTCTAGCCCTGGTTCTATAGAGACCGAACATTTACAGGCAACTGCACTTACTCATGACCAGTAAAGAGAAAAAAGGCATGGAAATTTGATGCAGTGCAATGGAAATTGGACTAGAGAGTGCCATCTATGCACGATTATTTGGAGAAAAAAATCCCATTGAGCTCATTGGGACTTTGTTCCTAGTAAGTGTGTTTAGGGGAATAGCTTTAATGTGCAAGTCAAGGCATGTCTGCTAAGAAGCAAGTCCTATTGTTTTTAATGAGGTTGATTCCTCAGTAACTGTGTATAACATTGTTGCTTAAACAATTAGTTAAAAAGAGCCAGAGTTTTTTTATTAGGCATAATACAGTTAATTTTAGAACAATCTCTTTTATACATTCCTTGTTAAACAAAAACAGGGTGTTCAGAATCACAAGTTACATTTTAAAAAAAGGCTAGGAAGGCTGATTTTATTTTCCCTTCTATGCCATCTGATTCTTCCATGTAATATGTTCTCATTATTAATAAACCATAATAGATGGGACACCAGTAGAATAGATGAGACACTAATAGGGGGTTGACAGATTGCTAAAAAGCTTTTCACTTATGAAAGAAGATGTGGCTTTCATTCAAAGATGCAGATTGGAATGGGAAGCTGATGCACATTTTAGCAGTGCACCTTGCTGAATATGTGTTTCCTTTTTTCCCCCTTTTCTCCCCTTACTTAAAAAAAAGAAACACTTATCATTTCACATATTCTGATGAGCCTAAATTAAAATGTGTCTGTGAGAGGGAGGAAGTGTGTGAGAGAGGCTGAGCCTGAAAAGAGAGAGAGAGAAAATGAGTGCAGAATCTATAAATGCATCTTGTTATAGAAGTATAGATTCCAAGCTGGAGAGGTTATTTCTGACTTGGTATTAACCTTGGCCCATTAGCTTCCTTGAACGACAGCAATAAATACTTTGGTATTTTACTCTGAACAAAGATAATGTATTCATTTGTATTCTCCAAGGAATGAGATGAAAGCAAATCTGGGTATTTTCTATTCTCTTCAGATCAGCCATAAAGGAAACTGATGGTTTATTTGGATGCTCTGTGGGGTTCGGAGTATAATGCAGAAAACATCTGGATTTTTTTTTAAAGTGTACTCCTATAGAGGAAAGCACCATTCTTCTGAACTCTTGGAATTTAGAGATAATTTGCACATGAACTGTGAATCATCTCCTTTCACATACAAAATAATCTCTGTTCACATATAGTGTTCTCTGGTGATTTTTAGACAGATTCATAGGCAGAGCCTGGAAAAGTTACTTTTTGGACTACAACGCCCAGAATGGACTGACCAGCATAGCCTTTATTGTAGCCCAAAAAGTAACTTTTCCAAGCTCTGAATATTGATCCAGATAGAATACTAGATACTTGGTACAAGGAAAGACTATTGTTGATTTGAGCTTCCTTAAGAATTGTTGGAAAAAGTATTTGGAACTATGTTAAGGTTAAGCTTGATTAAACAGGAACCAATCTCCATCTCTAGATGAATGTTCCATCTAATTCAGCATCTAGACCAGTGGATCTCAACCTTGGAATGGACTGACCATCTAATTCAGCATCTAGGCCAGTGGATCTCAACCTTGGGTCACCAGGTGTTCTTAGACTAAAAGTCTCAGAAGCCTTCATCATGAGCTGTGCTGGCCAAGATTTCGTCAAGCTGTAGTCCACAAAGACCTGGAGACCCAAGGTTAGAAACCACTGATCTAGACCAAAGCTTCATCTAGTTCACTTTTCAGTTGTTGCCAACCACAAGATACTCCTAACCAGGGCAACACCATGTACATGTGGAAGTTGGCATCTAGCCAGTTCAGCAGCACTGGATGAACATGAAGTTGTAGATCTGAATCTAAAGTGTGGCGGATGGGCAAATCTACTTATGCACATGGGTTTTCTTGCTGGATAAGGGCAATCATATTTTTTCAGTCTGAAGTTCCTTCTTCCTTCCCTACCTTTTAATGCACCTGTCTCAGCATTTCTGAAGCTGGGCATAGAAGCAGAAGCATTTGAAACAGTCACTTCTCATGAAAATTTCAACCTGGTTTAAAGACTTATAAGGATCCGTTGTTTATCTTCTAGTATTTCATCAGAGATATTCAGAAAAGAGTGATCAACACACACACAAAGTGAACACACTAAATTTCATTGTGATCTCCCCCTAAATTTTGTCTTAACCTGCCATTTCCCCTAAACAAACATTTTCTTGTTTAAGCAGTAAACCTTTTTTTAATACTAAGGTTACCGTCCAGTCATACCACCATTCATATTGCATTATCAAAACTCCCAACTGAATCTTACCCTGGCATTATTTTAAAATCATGTTTTATTCTATATGTGATTCCTAAAAGCTTTTTGAAGGATATGAATAATTCACTATGAGGGTCTTTGGGCTTTTGCTGTAGAAAAATGAAATGGCTGTTCCAAGAGAACTAATAATGAACACAATCTGAGATGTGATTTTGAATTTCTGTAGAATTATTAAAAGGACTGTCATTGGTCCTAAGATTTTCTCAACTTCTCCACCAATGGCATCGTAGGTAAAATGAAAGTGTTGCTCTAGTCCTTCATTCTGTTGTCAAAAGAGGTCAGCTAGATGGGCTTTGGAGCCTATTAGCAGGGCGTTACCTCCGGTTTTGAATTTCCTCAAAACATAGAAAATCCATTTAATAACAAAAGAGATACAAGTTCATGAATGATAGGTCCACCAAAATATATATGACACACTGTCCCATGCTCATGATATGTTCTGCTTCATATCTCGGACACATAGAGATCTTCCTGCTGTTGAAGAATAGCTTACCGTCTGCTTTGATATCTAATTTAGACTTTTCAGTTTTTTGTATATAGACCCTTTATTTCCTGCTGAATTTTTCATTCTTGGGTAAAATAAGATGTCATGGAACCACTGTCCTCCCTCCCCGCAGGATTTTTCACCTCCAGCCTGAGAATGAGACAACTGCATTATCCCAATCCATGTTTCCACATTTTGGGCACAATTTCTTGTTGTTATGTACCATAAAGTCACCTGCAATGTATGGTGACCCTATTAATGAGCAATTTCCAAATTTCTTGTCTTCAGAACCCCTGCTCAACTCTTGTAAACTCAAGTCTGTGCCTTCCTGTAGTTGGTCTTCCTCTTTTCCTGGTGCCTTTGACTTTTCCCAGCATTATTGTCTTTTCCAGAGAATCTTGCATTCTCATGATGTTCCTAAATTAAGACAGCCCCAGTTTCAACGTATTTGCTTCCAGAAATAGTTTGGGCTTGATTTTATCTAGGACCCACTTGTTTGTCTTTCTGGCAGTCATGGTATGTGCAAAGCTCTCCTCTAGCACTACATTTTAAACAAATCAGTCTTTTCCTTGTCAGCTTTTCTTAATGTCCACCTTTCACAACCATGCATGGTGACTGGAAATACAAGAAAGTGAATGATCTTGGTCTTGGTCTCCAGTGATATCTCCTTACACTTGATTATCTTTTCTACTTCCTTCCTTAGTGCCTTTCTGAGTCTCAGTCTTCTTCTGGTTTCTTGGTTGCAGTTTCCATTTGGATTTTTTTTTAAAAAAAAATTGAATATATATTTTTCCTTTGTGACGCTTAGCCATACCCATGCACATACACAGAAAGAACAAAGGACTGTCCGACTGATCAAAAAGATGGAAACAATCCATCCAGTATTTATGTTTTTGAAGTGGCTATCACAGTTGTATACTATTTGTACAAAAATCATTCTCATGAATGGGGCATCTGTAATGAAGAATGGCAGATGAGGAGGATATTTTTTAAAAAATCTCTTTCTTCCAGTATCCTCATCATCATTGGTTATGCGGATCAGGATTGTTGGGAGCTGAAGTGCAATATCACCTAGGGGCTCACATATTTTTGCTCCTGAATTATGCATTATCAATATCAATCCCACATGAACAAATATAGATACTAATATCTGAAAATACTTGGGTAATAAAAGGAGATTATTAAATGCTAGCCATTTGGGGGACACTGTGTACAAGTCTGAATTGTTGAAGCATGAAATGACATAATATGATTTATTTTATTTTGCATCTTTAGATTGTTTGGCCTGTATCTCCTACCCGTAGGGATGAGTGCAAGTGGGCTGGAAAAGATATTCTGGTAAGTACAAATCTTCATCTCCCCCTTCCTTTTGCAAAGTTAGTCAATATTTCATGAACTTTCATCTTTTTAAATTTTAAAGCATAGGGGTTGTTTTTTCCTCTTACCCTCTTTTACTTATGAATTACTTGGCTTTAGTAGGTATGGACCTAAGTGTTAGTATTTTTTGAACTCTTCTTTCTCCTCAAGTACACCTATGAGGGTAGGTTTATGTGTAACAGAATTAGTATATAATTGTCCTGCTGATTTCAGCACTCTTAGGAGTTTGACCTCATTTTTGTAATGACTGAAGCCCTTGATTTGCAGTGAACACTGAATAGACAGGCCATTGTGAATGCAATAAGCCTCATTAATGTCATGAAGTGGCCTTGAAGGCCTCAGGGGTCTCCCCAGACGGAACACAGGGATGCCTAAAGTGATGTTAATTTTCCCTCTTCTGTTGTGGTTTCTCGTGGGGGAGAAAATAAGGAGGAAGAATGAATGAAGTAAAAGAAAGCAGTTATTCTATGCAGTCAGTCTCTTGCCCTTCCTTTTCCTCTCTCATATTGCTCTTTCCCTTCCATTCGATCTATTGGAGAAAACATTGATTGAAGAGTGCAGTGGGAGCGGGAAGGATACAGGACACTTACTAACCTTAGAGAAAATGAATAGGTTCCATACAGGCCAATGGACACTTTGCTTGCAGTAGCCAAGGGGAGAACGGCACTTTCCCCCAAGTGTATATATCAGTGGCTTGATATTTCAGAGATAATTCACTAAAATATTCATAATGGCAGCTGCTGGTGGTCTGTACTGTAATACTGTCACAGGTCATAAGTGAAAATGGATTCACCAAGCATAACCTAGTCCCTAGTGAACAGTCGACTTAAAATGAGAGTTGACTTTTGGCATAAGAAAGAGCCAGCAAATTCGCGATAGGAGAACCGAATTTACATATACAAGACTGTACTGTCCCTGGTGTTACACTCGCTATTTAAAATATGAATTTGTTGTCTTGAATATATTTTCGTTGTTACAAATCCAGAACAAGCCAAGTAATATCCCTTTGGGGGTGGGTTGCCTTTAAAATAATAGAAATGAACTCTTCTTCAACTATAGGTTTTTATAACTTCCAGTGGAAATATACAAAATAAAGTTACATTTTCTTGACCCTTCACTAAAGATACAGCATTTACAGTACCTTGCTATATTCCTTACAGCTGACAAAGCTTTGGAATGCTATATTGATGGTCAAGGATACCTCACCAAGTTTTCATTAAAAAGCAAGTGGAAAGTGAATTATAAAGATTAGTCAATATAACATATATTTCGGGATATTTTTATCCTAATTTCAGAATATTTCATATTTGTGTTTATGTAGAACTTCATAAATCAAATTCTTGAATTGTTTTAACAATAGTTTTCAGTTTAAACTATGTGATTATTAATCTCAAGGCACCATCAATTCCACACTGAAAAGTTAAATTCCCTAGCAATAGGCCAGCTGCAACAGCTGCATTGCTTATATGAAATGTATATTAATTGTATATAGCTCATATGAACCCCACCGGTAACCTCAACCATGACCTAAGACTAAAGGTTTCTTTTGTTAACTATATTGAAGAGTATGCTGTATTTTCACTCTGCTGGAGTCTAAATGATTTCTTCTACGCTTATGTCAGTCACACAGTACCACAAAACTGAGCTAGGCAGAGGTCTTGACATTTGAAGTCCCAGAACTGATAAATACAGAAAACCCCAAACATCTCAGCTTTCCTTATTTTGGTGAGGTGGGGGGCAGAAAAGAGTAGGGAGGAAGAGAGACAAAAAGGGAAGCAAAAGGCCTTCCTTGTACATGAGGGAGTTTTAAAAACATGTGGGAAATTTTAATTAAATGTCTAGGAATTAGAGAGGATTGGACTACAGACGGAGCATCCAGTGTACTAGAAATAGTTTTCATCTGTGCTTCTCGGTACAACATCCTTTAATCTCTGTGTGCCCTAGGATGTGACAATATATGTTGTACCAATCTCTTTACTTGATTGCTGTACTTAGACTTGGCCTGCAGACAAGTCATGAGAATATTGAGTTGTTAAAATAGGATGTACCTTGTCAGAATGTAAACATGCAATTGTACTTTCAATGTTCCCCTAGTTCAAAAGCTCCTTCCAATGAGGAAGATAAAAAAGCAAATATTGACGCTTTTTTCCTATCATGTTAGTTTTCTCTTAGCAGGAACATCTGTCCACAAAGGTCCATTTAAAAGCATTTAAAACCAATATTCTGAAGTAATATACCTTAGCATTGTATGACTTCATTTCCACGTCATTCTCCTGCATTCATAAATCATACTCCATGTGCAGTGAAATATGTGAAATGATTTCCTAATTATATATATTCCACCTCTGATTCCACAGATTAATATTTGAAAAAGCATGCATACAGAAAAATCTAACATATGTAGGACCAAATCATTTGCTCAGTTCCTGGAAAGGGAAGATTTGTTCCAAAATTCTTTGCTGAAATCCTGTTGTGCAGTTACATAAAAGGTGTTACTTTCAGATAATTGTCACAAATAAAAAAAATCTATAGGCATTATGTCTGGCATGCCAGATCATGCAACTTGGTGTACAACAGATAATGCCTGTGAGGATTTTTGTGACGATTCACCTCCAAACATCATGCCTTTTGCACGACTGTACAATAAGAGCTCAGACATTGTGGTTTTGAAGTCACTGTGAGGTAATATTTTTGTAAGCCCTTTCATGCTTTGAAATATTCTTGTACTCTTCTGAGTGTTCATCATATATATGCAAACTATGAATGTATTTATTTGACAATTAATATCTCTATTTTGTTTAGTAAAGACATATACTAACCAAAATTCACAATACCCAGAGCCCCTTGTTCCTCTGGCTGACAAATGGGACAAGAGCATATTTCTCTACAGTTCTGCAATCTCAAGTGTACTGGTAGTTGAAGTGGTGTAGCCTTTCTGGTGGGGACCAAGGAAACAAATTCTCTTCAGGGACTCCTCTGTTTAAGGGATGGGCCATGTTGGTCTTCCCATGACATTTTTCCTGAGATGCACGGGTGCAACCTCCTCATGAACTTTGGTTCCCAGCTGGTAAGGGAGGACCAGCGGGTTTTTGTTTTGTTTTTGTTTTCAGTTCTTCAGTCATATGCCTTATCATATTATACTCTAGTTACCTTGTTACCAAAACTTTAGAATTTTAGTTCCCAAGTGAAACTTTCGCAGCTATAATACATTTTTTCAATGTTATTTGTCCCATGATTCATTCGAAGCACAGTTTATTTATTGATTATTTATTTATTCAAAATATTTTACCCTATTTTTTCTCCTTAAAAAAGCACTCAAGGCAGCATACACCATTAAAAACACAGTATTAAAAGCTGAGATCAGTAAATTACTGAAATATTAAGAAAGAATTACTTGCATATTAAAAAATGTTAGACAAAAGCATGCATGGTTTGTATTTTGTTATAAGCAACAAAATACAAACCATCCCATTTTAAAACCCCTCTCAGATGGCTAGTCACTAAATAAAAGTTTGCCTGAGGCCTTTTGCCTGCTTGCAGAAGGACAGCAAAGATAGACCAGCCTGGCCTCCTTTGGGACGGGGTTCCAGTCTGGGAGCAGTGACAGAGAAGGATAAGCCCTTTCACGCTTTGAAATATTCTTGTACTCTTCTGAGAGTTCATATATATGCAAACTATGAATGTATTTATTTGGCAGTTAATATCTCTATTTTGTTTAGTAAAGACATATACTGACCAAAATTCACAATACCCAGAGCCACTTGTTCCTCTGGCTGACAAATGGGACAAGAGCATATTTCTCTACAGTTCTGCAATCTCAAGTGTACTGGTAGTTGAAGTGGTGTAGCCTTTCTGGTGGGGACCAAGGAAACAAATTCTCTTCAGGGACTCCTCTGTTTAAGGGATGGGCCATGTTGGTCTTCCCATGACATTTTTCCTGAGATGCACGGGTGCAACCTCCTCATGAACTTTGGTTCCCAGCTGGTAAGGGAGGACCAGCGGGTTTTTGTTTTGTTTTTGTTTTCAGTTCTTCAGTCATATGCCTTATCATATTATACTCTAGTTACCTTGTTACCAAAACTTTAGAATTTTAGTTCCCAAGTGAAACTTTCGCAGCTATAATACATTTTTTCAATGTTATTTGTCCCATGATTCATTCGAAGCACAGTTTATTTATTGATTATTTATTTATTCAAAATATTTTACCCTATTTTTTCTCCTTAAAAAAGCACTCAAGGCAGCATACACCATTAAAAACACAGTATTAAAAGCTGAGATCAGTAAATTACTGAAATATTAAGAAAGAATTACTTGCATATTAAAAAATGTTAGACAAAAGCATGCATGGTTTGTATTTTGTTATAAGCAACAAAATACAAACCATCCCATTTTAAAACCCCTCTCAGATGGCTAGTCACTAAATAAAAGTTTGCCTGAGGCCTTTTGCCTGCTTGCAGAAGGACAGCAAAGATAGACCAGCCTGGCCTCCTTTGGGACGGGGTTCCAGTCTGGGAGCAGTGACAGAGAAGGCCCTTTCCTGTGTCCTCACCAAGTCCACCTGTGAGGTGGAGGGAACAAGAAAAAGGTCTCCCCTAGAGATCTTAACACCTGGGCAGGGTGTTTATCTTATAAAGGGAGATGCAGGTTTTTGAAATAGCTTGGACCCAAGCCTTTTAGGGCTTTATAGATTAAAACTAGCACTTTGAATTGTGTCTGGAAACAGATCAGAAACAAAACACATTTATTTTCTGTGTATGTGCTTATCATTGTGTTTTGCCATATTTTATGTATCTTGGTAGTATTCTCATAAGGTGTATAGAATGAAGATAGTGACCAAAATCTAATTTCTAGTTCTGGCTAGATCCATTCAATTAATTGCTGAATGGTGAATTGACACTTGTGTCTTATTGATTCATCAGCTCTGCTCTGTCTGGGCACTTGGTTTGAAGCATGTATATTTC